AGCTGGAGCATAAAGCCGACATAGATTTCAAGACGAGTAAATACATGCTATTCTCTTCTGAGCTTTAACTACCTCAAAATGGTCTGTTTATTTCTTTAACAATGAAAACATAACTAAGTATGCAATGATTTTATCACAATATTTCTCCCTGACAAGACTGTAATCCATTGTCCTCTAGGGTTTGTATTGTGGGGTCTAAGATCTAGTTTTTTTGAATATCTGATAACGTGTGTGTGTGTGTGTGTGTGTGTGTGTGCACACGTGTGTGTGTGGTGTACATGTTGTAGCTTCTTTCCTTTCTTTACCTTTTTAATTACACTGCTTTCTCAGCACCTGTCTAGGAGTCAATCTCTTCTTTCTGTCCACCTACCCTTTCAATTTATATACTCGTGCTTTTATTTTGAATTGCATTTGTAGTTATTACAACGAGTTCAGTGCCATGTCCACTCAAAGTTGTCCCAATCTTTCGCTCTTTGCTTTGACTCCTCAAAGTGATCAACTGTAAAGCAGAGGTACTGACTGCCTTCAAGCTTCGGGTTATAGGACCTTTGGCTGGGAGCTGATGGCCCCACATAACTGATCTTCTGGTTTTGTAATGAGAGAACATGGAAGAATCTCTCTGGAAGGAAATTGAACACTTTAATAGTTCTGCCTATCTTTCTTTGCCAGATCAATTGTAAATCAGCATAGAATGTCTCTAGTAATTCGAGAGACATTGTAACTCTAGAAAGTTAGTCTCTACTGCCTCCTGTATCCCTGCCATGTCAATACAAAGGGGTAGCCTGGCTGGAAGACTCAGTGCTGTGCCCCAAGCAGTTTTGCTAACAAGTTAGTTAAGCGCCAGAAGAGGTCAGGCTGGGGAGAGAGCCTGTGTCCTGATTTTGCAAGTCATTCATGTTGGAATTTCCACACACTCCTGCTCTGTCCTGTGCTCTCCCCTTGGCGTGGTCTTGTCTAAGGTGCCCTTGCCTGATGATCTTGCCTCTCGCCACTCTCCCCACACTTAATGCTCTTTTCCTCTTTCTCGTCCTTGAGCAAGCCTAGATGGACTTCGCCTCTGGGGTTTTCCACAAGTCCTTCCCTTTCCCTGTAAGGCTCTGCTCCCAGATATCTTCCCCGGCTTCCTATCATTCAGATTTGCATAAATATCACCTCCTCGGAGCAGCCTCCTCTGACCTCCCTGAGATACAGGGTCACACCCCTGTATATCATCCTATTGGGTTTTCTTCTTAGAATGTATCAGTATCTTACATGTTCTTGCTTTTGAATGTTTACTATCTCTCCCTAGATCTAGGGAAGAGCCTTATCAATTTCATTGCTGAAACCCTGAAGTCTTCACACTTCCTGAAACACTGAGTGCTCCCATAATTAGTGAGCAATTCTGAAAATAAAATTACTTGGGCCTAATGTTTGAAATTATGTGCACACATATTTTTTTAGCTTCATAGTCTTAACTCCAAAATATAATCATCAGAGTTTTATGTGTTATCTCAGACAGGTTGCATTGACCTCCTGCAATAATTTTTTCTTATACAAACTAAGTTATGTTTACTATTTTCACTTTAAAAAAATATAGGATAAATAACAGAACCATTTATTTGAATGGCATCTACGTATCCATTGCAAAATTACATTACTATTCCTGAAAATTCAGCCAACATCATCCTGTATCATTAGTCTATGCTGTTAACAAATTGCAATAATTTTTTTTTCTGAACTTAAAAATGTGTTTTTTTGTCCCCCCTGCACACACCCACACATATGTGTGCCTTAGCATATCTTCCTAAATTATATTCAAGAACTTTAAGGCAAACCAGTTCAAAATGATAATTATCAGGTTTTCTTAGATGCTCAAAATCATCTAAACATTCTTCTTTTAGGCCAGCAAATCATAATCAAATCACTCAGAATCAATGAATTGATTGGCCATATGAAGGACCATCTCCATAAAACAAATATGCAAAAATATACATGGAATTTCAGTGGATTCACGAACTCCACTAAGCTTATTTACTAACCCCGTGTAGCGGCTTTTGCTTTAAATAATTTTTATCTTATTTTATTATTTTATCCTCATCTGTTTTCATTTGCATTATTTTATTGCAAGCAATTTATAAGTCTTTAAGAAAGAACAAAAGCATTCAACTTAAATTCAAGTAAGCAATTTTAATATTTTAGGATTCTCTCTTATGATAAACATTACATAATCTTGGAAACAAGGTTGAGAATGTCTGCTAACTTATTTTTAAATCTTTATTCATGTTCATAGTTATGGTTATTTACAAAGTTATACTTGCAGAGATAAACTATAAGGTTAAAAATCTCTGAAAGATCTCCTTAATTTGTTTTAGTTTCTGTTCCAGTTTTTAAGGTTCCATATTAACTTCTTGAGTTTGAAGCAAATAGTGCACCATGTTCTTTCTCAAAGTGGCCAGTGAGTTGGACTCTTGGTGGCACAGTGACAGATAAATCTTCATTCTTTTGGACGCCAATACAATGAGCTAGTGGCTCATTCCAAACTAGCATATGTATTTGATTATGAGCATGGCAAACATTGCTGATACAGGTACAAGTCTTTGTTGCTTTAGAAATGACCAATCTCATGACCTAAATTTTGAGTAAAAGTACATTACATGTAGATTTTTTCCAATTTGACTGAATTTGAAACAGTATACTTATGCTTTAATGTGTGCAATCTTTAAGGCCCAGCTAAACTTAATAGATAGCATTTATCTTACCATTATTTTATGCATTTTTAAGTATTAAACTTTGAAAGAAAATACATTTCTAGATTAATAAAATAGCGCAGTCAAAACCTTTATTAATTTTTCTCATTAAACTGAAATGATAAACCAAATGAATGAGAAAAATGGCAGTAAAAGATTTAGCATGAAATATTATTTCTCAGGTAATGTCAAGAATATTATGAAAATATATACTTGCTTATAACTGAATCAAAGAAAATGAATGCATTTACCTTGGAAAAGCAGAGGTACTGATTGCCTTCAAGCTTCGGGTTATAGGACCTTAGGCTGGGAGCTGATGGCCCCACATATCTGATCTTCTGGTTTTGTAATGAGAGAAAATGGAAGAATCTCTCTGGAAGGAAAACTTAGGTCATTTATCTCTCGAGCTATATCTATTCCATAATGTATATGGAACACTTTAATATTTCTGCCTATCTTTCTTGCCAGAGTAGAAAACAGGTTCAAAATAAAATAGTCTGAATTATCATAAAGCCAAAAATAAGAATGGAATATTTAAAATTATAACTCACTTAACCAGTGAAAACTGAACACATTAATCTTCTTTAGTCGGGGACCTGCCATCATCTTTTGCATATTGTATTTAGCCAACAACCAAATTTTAATTTTTAATTAGGAGACATTAAAATATAATTAGCAGCAAATAACAGAATGACAAAGGTACAGAAATTCATAAAGGTCAAAGAAAGCAGCATTTTTAGCCATAGCAAGAAATGTTCTAACATGAATTTTGGGAATTATGGTGAGTGCTTCACCTTCCCCACATTCACCTCCAAGGCAAATTTTCTAGAAGCAACATTTCTATTTGACAAGAGTATAATGATAATAATACAGAAATAGCTGTCAAAACCAGAGAGTGTACATTCTTCCGAGTCAAGAGACTCTCAAACCTCAATAAACCTTTATCCCATGTATAAAGGAACATAGCAAATTCCAACTTAGCACAGGTGTAACAAAATTAATTAATCGATCAGAGACTGATACAATTTTGAATATGCACTTTCCAGAATGAAGCAGAGGACAACAGAGACCATCTGCAGCTGTCAAACCTGTGGAAGTGAAACAATGGATTACAAAATTCACGCAGTGTATGAATTATCAACGAAAAACAAACACTTGGTCAAAAAAAGTTGGTCAGTGGCCCAACACGTAGATATTCTTAAGTATATATTTATATATATAATGATAAAAATTAGCTTGCATGAGGGTCGCAGTACATCTACTTTGAAGTTATAGCACATATACTATAAGCAATTTACAGAATTTGTCAGGTTTGCATATACAGGAATTGCAAAATGAATTAAAATACATTGAAATATAGAACACTCAAAATGTAGTTCTGTAAACCTCCTAGGATTGACAGAGATTGGCCATAACCAGCACTTGCCACCATTGAGTAAGAACTGTAATCAAGAAAAAGAATAAAAATCCAAGAAAAAAGGGGAAAATAAAAAAAAATTCTTTCTTGTGTTATTCCTTATTTAAAGTAATGTCCTCCTTGTTGACTTGCAGTGTTGATAGTTTTGTTCTTGCCCTAAAAAGGGGCTTTTGTTTGATGATAGCTTCTGTTCTGTAGCGTTTTGATCTCTGTTTGCTTCCTGAAGATACTGGGTCCTTTAGTAGGAAATCAGTGGTATCCATAGTAAATATTCCCTATCCTGATGACATTCAGGCCAACCCTCGAGCAGTCAGTGAGATGATTTTAGTCGCCGGAAGAAAAGGGAAAAAAATAGATCTTGCTATTAGAAAACGTTCTATCGCTTCACACTAATTTTCTTAAAATAAAAGATCAGTGTTTTGCCAAAGAAAATATGATCAACAAAGCATATGATAGCCTCTTCATTTATGCTTCCGGAAGCAGGCGCTCCTTGTGTAGTGAATTAGAGTACAGTGGGTGCAGGGTGGTGCTTGGAGTTTAGGGTCAACTTTGCTGTCCGCTCCGTAGATTTTACAGGCGATTTGCTCTTTGCTTTAAGAAGAGAAAGTGATATTGGAAAAAAGTCAGCACTTTAGATTAAAGCAAAGCACCCTTCACAAAGCCACAAACAAGAAGCAGGACAGAAAGTCCATGGCTTGTAGCTATCCTCGCACCTGCGGAAGAAGTTATAAGATATTCGCTCATCTTGAAGATTTCCAACGCTCCTTATTAGGCTGTTTTAAACACATACATATATATATTTAATTAGCTCGCCAGCTTGGCTCTGGTGCTCATGAATGTCTTGGCATGCACTGCAAACAACAACACATACAAAGGATTTCAGTCCCAGGAAGTTGGTGTTGTTTGTTTTGTCTGTTTTCAAACAATGCCATCCCATGGCTGGGAACACTGAGAGGGGCAAATCCAGATACTTTTCCCTCAAGTAATTCCTTGAGGATCATTCCCTAAAGTCATCTGGTTCTTCCTATACTGGTACCTAAAAACACATCCCTTTTTTTTCCTACTGCATGAGCATAAATCCACAGGGCATATGACACAACCTGAGAACAGCAGGTTCCTCAACGAGGGGGGAACTTGTTCTAGGGTGGGTGCATTTGGGCATTTACTTTTAGAGTGAGATTTTTTTTTTTTTTTAAATCTTCAAAATCTTGGAGAAAGTTAGTGCTATCAAGAATTGGAAACTCCTGAAAGAGCTCCAAGACTATCTCAGGGAAGAAATTGTAGTTTTGCATTTTTTTGTCATATATTTTATTCAATAAGTTTCTAGCTACAAATGACATATTGAATGCCTTTATTAGTAAAGAACAAAAATGTGATGAGGATCAAAGCATTACCTTCTTTCATCTTTAACTGGACAAAGATTAAATGTGTTTGAAGGGGGTAAGCATGGGGAAATGCAATCTTTTGAATACTTCATCTAAATCATATTTGGGTCCACATTGACAATGATAAAAATTGTGGCAGAACCCCTTTTTCTCTAAAAGTCACTGTATGTAGAATAAATATTTGGGGCTTCCAAAGTAGCCATTTAGTAAACTCACATTACTGTATTTCTGCTAGGTTACTTTAGTGTTGTCATTGAGTTGCCTTACTGGTAGGAGGGTTATATATTTACCAGTATACAGTATCTCCTCACAGAAACCCAGTGACTGGAGGAAGACCCAGAGGTTAGTAGTGGGGCTCTGCAGAATGGTCCTCTATTCAAGTTGGGTGACAAATTTCAAAAAATGCAACAGTGATAGCTCAGTTCACATGCAGTTCTAAGTACAGAGATTTTGCCAGGAAAATGTACACAATCTATGTAGAACCAATAACATCAGAGCTTTCCAAAATTAAACACGTATTCTCATTATCTTTTGAAGAGAAACTCTTTGACAGGGATTCATTTAATGAAAAAAAAGAAAGAAAAATAAATTATTAAATGCTTCCCCAAATAGGCAATGGTCCTTGATTTCACACAAAGTATGTCTGGTATTGAATACAAGTTTTAAAATGCTGAAAGCAAATACAACTTGGTAAAATAATTCACTATTTAAAATGTATTTTGTGAAACAATGGTTTTCTTTTCAACATGGGCATTGCAGATTGGCTAGAATTTGTTGAAACTGCACCATAACTTATGTCGTCCCTTTTCTTAATTAATCAACCCTTCATAGGACATGCCTGATCCCATTAGCCCAGTGAGATATTATGGAAACAGCTGCTTCATTTTGACCCACCATTTCCTATCATACTATATCCAGCATGTGCAAGTTAAAGCATAATTTACATGAGTATTATAACTAAAAGGAAACCCAATGATGCAGTGTAAAGAATATTTTGAGCCTACTAAAATTTTGAACTTCCATCAGATATGTAATAAACTATTGAAGCATGGTACTTTTGTTTTCAGATTGTAATCATTCAACCACCCTAGGTGCATGCATTTACTAGCATATTTTTAATTAAATACAATTCATTTTCACCAGGAAAATTACAAAGATTTTTTCCTATATAGTGAATTCTAAAGCAAATGTGTATTGTCATCAAATTACTGACTGTGTTTCTCTCCTTTCTGTTTTTTATGTCTTGAATGAAAAGATATGTACTTCTTTATCTTTGTAGGCCCAAAGACTTTTAGAAGTGACATCTGAGAATCTAAAATGCTACAATTTGTCCTGTGTAATTTTAACAAATAATCATCATAGTCATTTTCATTCAGATTTATACTAATTACATAATGCCATTGCTTCTTATCAAACATGTTATGGTTTATTGTATGGAAATATTAACTTTTATGTAACAAGTAAACTTCGGCCACTCTGTGCTCATTTTACAGATAGAAATGCTTTACTTTTGTGAAATACTCAGAGCCAGGGTTGCCGTCAGGACCCCTGAGTTCTGATTTCCTCTGCTGCCACTCACTTTTGAGATCTTAAATGAGATACTATTTCCCCATGTTTCCTAAAGTGAGCATAATAACTGTGTAGAATTGTCTTATTCTCATCATATTAGTATGCCAGGTATTGTGTTGTGATAGGATTGCCTGTTTTGTTTTATTTGATTTCTTTTGTTCTCTGCTGAGGCCAAGCAGGATAATCTGTCATCCCCTTAATACAGTCACACGTTTAAGCAACTATTGCCCTCAGATAATTGCCTGTCCATTTATCTGTTCCTAGTAGCTAGTTGTAATCTCTCCCTCCTCTGAACTTCAGCAGTATTTTCTTTTGCTAGGTTCTTTACCAGGCCTACATTGTGTGTAATTAATCATATTTGTCTTACCTCACTGATTATGCTATTAGCTCATTAAAAGCAAGGAGTAAAATTTTTTGCAATTTTAAAAATTACTTTCAATGTGTAAAGCAAGGCCTCGAGAGTTTTCAAACTTTACCCCCAACATAAAATGCTCTGCGAAGAAGAAAGGAAGATGCTATTATCTAAATTATGTGAAGAAAATTTACAGGCAGTAGGCTTAGATGAAGATAGGCCTAATAGGACCTAGAGGTTTCTCTTGGACACAGACTGCCGTTTCATAATGTCCTTCGACATCTGTTTAATCATGACGCCTTTCATTTGCTTTGTTTCTATGCTTACAGATTTTCATAGTGCTCTCGCAAGTGTAATCCCCCGCCTTTGTAAGGCGGAGGAGGTGTTTCCTTCATTTTGTAAATGGAAGAGTCTGAGAAGTCTTAGAAGTCTCAGCAGGGCAGAAACTTCGCTTCCATTCCTCATCCTTTTCTCTTCCTCATGCAAGAGTGGTGTGGGCCTTGCCTCTCCTGAGATACAGCAGGCAAGCATTTCTCAAGAGAGTGTGACAAATGAAAGCCCGGCCGAGGAGAAACATAGAAAAAACCTTCCAGATATTAACTTCACTATGATTATGATTTCAGAGAATAACAGAAATTCCATATATTTCATTACAAAAAGAAAGGAAAATTAAAAACAAGCAAAGCATAGTAGTTGAGACCTTGGTAGCCTCAGCAGTCCGGCGGAAACGGTGTGGGGCTGTCCGCCTCAAGTGGACTGCCTGTTGCCAGCCAGAGAGGGCCACTGCCTGGAGAGGTCAGGGTCTGCTTCTGCGTCACTGCCTAAGTGCCACCAGCTCCTGTTCTCATGCCTCTTGCCCTTCCATGCCCCCCTCATATGTCCGCCAGGTAGAAGTGCTTGACTGCCTTTCGGCACCTTCCTTTTCAGTTTAGACCTCCATCTGTGCTACCATTTTTTCCCTGCGTCTGCAGTCACCAGGCTGGGAGACAGTGGGCAGGATGAACAGTGCTGCATCTTTCCGCGTGCCCACACCTTACCCTCCAAAACGGCTGAAACTACAGGGGACCTGCTAGGTGCCAGGCAACATGCAGTAGGCACTGTGTCTCCATCATACTGGTTAATCCTCACAACAACCCTGTGTGGCAAATATGCAGATCAGGAATATGTAACCCAAAAATGTGAAATAACTCATCCTAGCAGGGAGTGATGCAAAGACACAGAAATGAAGAAACAGCAGTGTGGTCCATCAGCACAGAGCAGAAATCTGCTGCTTTCTGAAACCCCTTGAGACAAGCGACCTTGCTCCAATACCCCACATTTTTTAAATTGAGATGCGCAGCTATCATTTGAATGTATACTCATCTTTTCAGAGGAAATGCACCACGTGTAACATAGTTCGCATATAACATACTTCATACTTGATATGAAACTTAACTTTTCCCCAACTCTGAACTGATAAATATTGAATATGAAAACATTACCAGCCTCTTGGTTTTTCTATGCATTAATAAAATGTAAAGCCTGTTTGTTCTTCGTAATGTACCAAGTTTCTTATGATATAACAATATTTTAAACTTTTCATAGCATAGACTTTTACAGCTTACAAAGGTTCCTCTGAATTCCTTTAAATATTCATTTAATACCTGGCTCCACTATTATTCTAGCATTCCTTCTTCTTTTCAAAAATCTCTTTTCCAAGTTTTTTATTCAAATTTGGTAGTCTGGGCCCAGGAAAGGTTACATTGATGGATCAAAGTACCATCATTAGTTAGTGGCAGGTGGGGGATGAGAACCAGACTTTTGGGCTCTAGGAAAGATCCCAGAAGGGGATGTGGGTATTTAATTCAAAGTGCTGAGTGAAGAAAACTAAATAAACCACTTATTCCATGTACATTTGACCAATTCTCCAAATATCCACTTTCTCTTGGCTTTGAATATTTTCTGATGGATTAATTTCCTATGTAAACACAAGTTTAGTTGGCTTAGATATGGGGTACCATCAGTATTTTCGGGGCATCGTTCTGCAGAGTTAGGCGTGATTCCTGATTGGCTTTTCTCTTCTTTCTCTTCTTGTTTGGGTATCTAATGGAATCAAAAGGAGCAAGGAAAAAGAAAGAAAACATTTTCTACTCCCACCCGCCACCCCACTGTGGCTGCATGGTCTGACTCCAGAATCTTTGTTTTGTAAAAGTGAATATGAGTGAGGCTCATAACCACAAACTTAAAAATAGAAATCCTCCAACAGTAAAAGTAGCAACAGCCAAATACTTTTCTGTCTGTGAAGAAGTCCAGCTTATGGGGAACTGAGTGTCCATTACAGCTCTTCGGACAGACGGGCCCCTTCAACATATTTCTCATTTATTACAGGTGCCAGCTTCAGAAATGAAAATCGCTGTGTGAGAAAAACTGAGCTAGCTTCTAATGCAATTTTTATTCAGGTTTGAACATACTAAATCACTGTTTAAGGGGAAAGGTCAAATAATAGAATGATTTTATCCCATAATTTTTTGAGAAGAGTATCTTTTTATTAGAATGCTTATGCGTCCAGTGCCAATTTCTTCCAGAAATCTGCTTTTTAAAAGAAGTGTGCTTCACTTTGACCTAATACATAAATTGCCTATTTAATGTGCCCCGGCATGTTGGTAGCAGCTGTTTAAATTTCCCTTCTTGCTTTCCTTTAGTCAGCAAATTTACAGCTCTGTTCTAGTTATGAGGGCTCTTACTGTAGCTGAGGGGGAGTGCAGTTGCCCATGAACGCAGGTCTATAGGACAGGGTGCATGGGTGCCACTCCATTCACCAAAGACCATTCTCTTCTGTTGCTTAGAACCCTCCTCTGCAGCTGTCAGGCCTTTCTACCTCCTGCAGCAACTGAAGAGTGGATGTGTGCAAGCAATGCTGCCTTCTTCTTGCTGGGGACACGGCACATCTGAAAACAGCACATTTTCATGGTAGCACACCCCTACAAGCAAGAACTGATTTTGTGCAGATGGGATGATGGTTATGATAGAGACTGCCAATAATTTTGAACACTTATGATTTCTTTACCTCTGGCTATGATCCCAGGAGTTAACCATAATCATTTTACTGATAGGGAACTGAAGCTGAAGGAGATTATGCAACTTATTGGAGTTTATTCAACTAGTAGGTGGTACAGGTGAGACTCAAATCCGGTTTCTGTTTGACTGTAGAGCTAAGATGGTACAAATATTTGCATCATAATTTCATATGGCAATTCCTCATATCTGAAAACTTTATACTTTTCCAATTCTGCCTATTAAAAATATATAGAGATATGAATGGCTTTGGCAAAATGTAAAGGAGAACAATATAAATTGGTGGAAAAACAAACAGAAACCTTTCCAAGAATGAAATTCTAATACTGCATATATTTAATAATTGCTTTAATGCATAAATAAGAATGATTTATAATTAGCACTACATTTACTGGTATATAGACAAATGTTGCTAAAATGCTTGAAACTATTTAGTCACAGAGTTTAAAAATGCTTCCTGCCTGCTTGCTTTCATTATTCATTAGCATTCTCTTTATTAATCATGTATAGGTAGTTATTAATCCAGGATTTATTTGAAAAATCACAAATTTCATATTAGGAATTCCACATGTGGTTTTGTTGCCCTGATCATGAATGGTGCTAAATTTGACTAAGGGTTTCAGAAAGTGTATTCAAGTTGGGGAACGCAATAGAGACAAATGGCATCCATGTGCCCTGGCATCCTTTCAGCGATCGTGCACCCAGAACCCTTCCCTGGCTCAGTGAGGACAGCTTGCCCTGAATTAGAAAGCCAACAGAAGTGCATCACAGCTAGTATTGTTGACTACTAACTGAAAAGGGCAGAGAAAAGAATAACTCGTGAGTTGAGGAAACAGGGGTCAGTTTGGCTGAATATCTGAGAAATCGCTCATCAGTTGGTGAAATAAAGAATACCTCTCCTTATCCACGTCCTCTTTGCATGTTGCTATAGACCTCCACTGCCAATACTGTCAGAGAAAAATCTCTCATCAAAGCAGGAAAAACATCTCATATTTTTAAAGAAATGGCAACTGAGGAACTCAGAGTGAAAAAAATAAAAGAAAAAGAAAGAAGGAAAGAAACATAGCTGCAAATATGTGATTTCATTTCCCACATATCTTCTTAGGTAAATTGCAAAATAAAGATATAGCCATGATTTATAAATATAAAAACTAAAGACCGGGAGCGGTGGCTCATGCCTGTAATCCCAGCACTTTGGGAGGCCGAGGCAGGCAGATCACAAGGTCTAGAGATCAAGCACATCCTGACCAACATAGGGAAACCCCGTCTCTACTAAAAATACAAAAATTAGCTGAGCGCATGCCTGTAGTCCCAGCTACTTGGGAGGCTGACACAGAGAATTGTTTGAACCCAGGAGGTGGAGGCTGCAGTGAGCTGAGATCACGCCACTGCACTCCAGCCTGGGTGACAGAGTGAGACTCTGTCTCAAAAACAAAAAACAACAAAAAACTAAAAAACGAATTTTTATGGTTAATTAATGTCTGACTTTGAGGAAGGAATCATTGGAGGACCTAATGTCAATAGGACCTAAAAAAGCATAAATTATATGGCTTCAGAAAACACACCTGTTTTAACACAAGGAAAATGTCTTAAGATTTTACCCATATTTTTTCCAAGTTTGAGCCAGTGGCTTTACCGTTTTCCTTAATCTAGCTATTTCAAGTTTTCTTAATTAGAATGCTTTATTAATTACCTTCATTAGTAGAAGTTATCTTCTTAGCTATCAGCATTAAGTAATTAGAAATATTTGAAGCAAGATTTTAAAAATTCACATCTCATTTATCAAGATATACAAATAAAAGGACAGAAGTAAGCCATTGCCTGGGATTTGTTCATCAAACTTCCCAGACATAATTTGTCACTCAATATCATTTTAAATAAATTAATATTGTCATCATGAATATGTAATGAAGGATAGTCCAAGGGATATTTTTTAATCTTTTCTGACCACTGCTACATAGGCAGTCTGGGGTTGTTTTCTTAAACATTCACCAAATTACATTAAACTTCAAGTATATTCTTAGCAGTGGTATTATCCTCAGAAGTGTTTTGCACTATACATAAACCAAAACGTAATTTTCTATCCCTAAACATTTAACTCTAAGTACATGCTAAACACAATGCTAAGTGCTGCAATAACACTTAAAGTTCAAGACACTATTCCTATCTTCACAATCCTTATAATATTTTCAGATAGTTTGAAATAGAGTGAGGTTTTAAATTTTAAAGTTTTTTTTTTTTTTTCTGTTTAGTGGTTGTGATTCTATTGCTCAATCCCTAAATGCTGGATTTTTCAAATTAACTATTTACAATGCTAGAAGTTAGAGAATTGTCTTCATAGCATATGAATTTGTTTAATCAGAAAAACTAAAGGTAAAAGATTATATGCATGGCTGAAGAGCAGGCTCCTCAGGGTGTGTCTGTAACAGAAGCCATCAAAATGAAGCAAGAAAAACACTGATCTCATAACAGAGCCCTTCGCTGCACAGTGCTTGACACCTTTACATTTTAACATTTGAAGTATTTCACTGCATTATTTAACTTCATTAAAATGTTTCTCTGTGAAGATAATAATAAAATTGCTAGACTTAATTTCATCTTTAAAATTTTCTCTACAGCTTCATATTTGTCAGCTTCATGGACTAAGAAACCATAACTCCTAGATTTTACTATTTGCTTTAATTCAAGCACTGTTTAACCTATATCAGGTATGTTTTATACCTATAGGATTCTGAATTCATGCAAAAATGCTCTCTCAGAGTCTGTTTTGAAGCAGTTGCATTAAGTAAAACATAATACTCATTTATAAATCTTCCTGTGTCTGATTTCCCTTGATACTCCCAAAGACAATGGGAGTATCCTCACTTTGATCTCCCTTGGAATTGGGGGCTGTGTGAATCATCTCATTGACAGGAAAAATGATTGCATGATATTTTATTTACTTGTATGTGTTTGATTTATTTAATCAATGTGAATTCATCAAGATCACACCTATTTGCTTAGAAAAACAAGACTAACTTGATGGTCAGATTCTCCACCCAGACTCCAGGAAATAAGATATAATAAAATACAAAGTTCCTAATTTCAATGCATTTTCTGAGTAGACCATTTTCATAACAGTACTTTAGGTACATATATGTACATGTGTAGATATTTTTAAGATTTTGTCATGAACTCTATAATTATACACCATTATTTTACTTTGCTTCTCTTTGTTGAAATATTTTATGTGTTTGCTAATTTATTTTCTCTCTCATGAGACAACTGTTTACCATTTTTAATTGGAAAAAATGTAAATTTTCTTTTTCTGCTTATAACAAAGTAATACATTATCATTGTACAAGTGTTATAAACAAGCAAAACAATAAAAAATTAAAAACAATAACCTATTGACTGCTGTACATTTTCTTTTTTTCTTTTATTTTTCTGTGCACATGGCTCAGACTGATTTAAAGCTTTGTATGCTACATTTTTTCACCTTAAAGTTTTGTATCCTATATTTTTTCGTGTGATGTTATGTACTGAGTCCTTTCTAACGTCTCTAAACATTCTTTGAGAACATGATTCTAGAAACTGCTTAATGTTCACTGTATGCTTTAACACATTCACTAGGTAACTTGCCTTTTGGTCATCTGTGTATTTCCAGGTGTATGAAAAACTCCATGATAAGCATTGCACTTCATGACTCACTATGATATCCTTGGAATTTCCTCCTGAAAGTATAATTTCAGGGACATACGGGTTGCATAATCTAAAGCCTCGTGATGACTGTTCCCTGACAAATTTTCCTTCACAAGGGAAGTACTGATTCACCATGCCAATGGCAATGTAGCAGAATGTCTGATTCACTGTAACCTTTATGATGCTTGTTGATTTAGAAAACTTTTGCCAAGATTATATCTGTCAAATTTTTTTTTAATGACAAAGGGTTTTGACTGGGACTGCATCAAATCTATAAATACTTCTGAAAAACCTGACATGCTTGCAATTCTGAGATGGGCCATCCAAAAACATAGCATTGTAACTCA